ACTAATATATATATATATATATATTGCTTCACGTTATAAGGTATCATTTTTCAACAAAAGTATGTGCATTTATATAAGCTCAGCATTTCAGAAAATAAATGGCCTCGGCAGTGCAAAAACTCCGTACCCAAGCATAATCGCAAAGCTTCTTTTCCTACAATTCAACCTTTGGGCCTAACCGGGAGCCCTGTGGACTTAAGGCTGCGGTCCAATCATGTGGACAATCTCCCCAGTGTTCAAGTCCCGAACGTATCTCACCGTCCCGATCTTCGACACGGCGCTCTTTTTGGGGATGTCATGAAGTATGTAGCGGACTTCTGCATCGAATTGACCAGGAAAATCAGGAACGGGACTTTCTTTCGCTCTCAAATTGGGAAGGTCATCACGATCGATGATGGTGCTGTGTGTGATTCCTTTTTCTGGATTCGGCAGCACACCCTCATGTATAGCTGTATCGATGTGCTTAATTGCATTCTCAAAATCATTCTTCGGCATCGTATGATGCTCCTTGAACATTTCCGCCAAATTTTCTTGCGGCAGAATGATCCCCCGCGACAGGCATCCGCGCTTGACCCGGCGATAGAGGCGCCCGAGCCTGAGATGTTTCTTGAAGGCTGCGGCAGCGTCCAGTAGTCCGTCCCTCAGTTGTTCCATGCAGCTTTTGTCGTTGTCGCAGAGGGAGGCCATCAAGCCCTGGCCCACGAGCGAGGAGCGCTCCATCTCCCTCATCCCATACATGAGACCGCCCAGGCTGTCTTCCAGGATCTCCTCTTCCTCGCCATCGACGGTCACCACTCCCACATCGCCGTACTTGTTGAGCGACTCGAACAGCAGCTGCTCGCATCGGTCCACCTGGCTGTGGCCACGGCAGATCTCGTCGTAGTAGGGCTTGGACCTTTGGTGCCCGGTCATCATCAGCTTCAGCATCAGGAATATGGTGAGGACGGCATTGATGGTTTGGGTCGTTGCGACGGCATCGGCAGTGGTCTGGTTGGTCCATGCTGCCTCCCCTGCGGCAAAGCCTTCTATCAGGGAGGTCGGCAGTTTCTCCTGCACCCAGGCCGGGACGTCGGGCAGGGTCGGGCTAAAGAGAAGGCTCTCGTCTTCGGCCACTGAACGCCGGCACCTCTCCGTGGTCTCTGCCGGAGAGTCTACCTTGATCTGGATCTTGGTGGCCACCATGCCGGTCAAAGCGGAGTTCTCCAGTTGGAAGGCAATTCCGAAGTCGTCGTCCTTGAATATTTTCTCGGGTATGGGTATGGGTATGCCGTCATCGGGAATTCCATGGTTTCCGTCGTCGTCTGAAAAAAAAGATGAAGTGCTGTTTGTTATGTTCGTCTGGAACTTTATAAGATTGCCTTTGGACAGTTTCGTTTTTATTTATATATATTTTTTATGACGAAGCCGCCCTCCTGACATTTTAAAAATTGTTTTCCTTAATTTGATAAGTATGATGCTCAAGGGGGAGCACAGTGGCACATGAAAATCTTGCTTTCTATTGATAGATAGTAGTTGATGGAACTCAACGGCAAACGCGACGAGAAAGGGAAAATGATGGTTTCAGGTACATGTATATAACTTTTTGGCATCAATTTCGGAGATGCGAGTTTTCCGAATACGTATTGTCGTACCTTTCCGGTCTGTGTTTTCCCTCTCACGTTCTCCTAAGATGTGATATATGACTCTGTCGACGTGATCCAGCGTTCCCTCTACAAATTCCTGCAAGCCGTTTACAAACTCCGGGTTGGTGTGGATGAAGTTTTCCTGTGTCTCCCTGGCTCCCTCGGCGTCGCCGGTGATGACCTGGACCAAGGACTTGTACTGGGAGAGGATCGGCACCGAATCAATGTTGCCCATGTTTCCACTCTTCCTTTGACTGTGTATCGCTCTGTGGGTTGTATAGAAAAAAAGTCCGACCATCATTTGAGCGATAGTTCGCAAGAGCGACTGGTCAAATGAGCGATGGTGCATGAGAACGACACGTCGATCGAACGATGCTCTTTTGAGCGACTATCATTTCAGCAACATTTACGATTTTAAGAAGTTTTGCCATTTCAGTGCATTGGAGTTGAAAAACATAATTGAATCAGCATTTCAGAGCAAAGAAAAAATAGTTGAAAATCGATTTATATTTTTATTATGCTGCTGTAAATAAAAGGATGCTGGTTATTATTCTTAGAAGAGAGGGATTCGCTCGTTGAACGGGAGGGAAAACGACACAACAATCCGTTTTTAAGGAATGAAACTTTCTCGCGACACGCGACTCGGCTGTCGACTAAACCACGGAGTATACTCAAGATTAAAAAAAAAAACAGGAATTATGACACGATAGGTCGCAGAAAGAAAAAGAAAATGACCGAGTCCTTGAATAGAATACATCGGATCAGGAAAAAAACCCACGAAGGATCCCTAGGATTATCGTAAAAATTTGAATGAACCTGAGCAGAGCGAGCTTCATCGATACCGTCACGTCAGCGGGAACCCCATCGCAGAACTCGAATAACCGAGCGTTGTTCCAGAATAAAATCAACGTTTTGTGCCAATCGGTTCCGAATCCAGTGAACAGCACACCTCGTCGCAAACAAAATTCCGCGCGAAAATAACGAGAAAGCAAGAAAGACGTTTTGCGCCACTTTCGGTGGACACGGGCGAAAAGAAGCCATTGCGATGGATTGCGTTGTTCAACTTACAACTGCAGAGAGTTTCGCTGCTGTTGCACACGTTCGCGTCTCTCCGAGCGAGTGAACAGGACATCAACTGATCGTCGCAGCAATCTGTCGCTTCCTTATTAACTTCGAGGACGCTCGCTTTTTGCAGGCAATGTCGATCTTCCGGTTTTCATCAAGGGTCATGACGCGCGATCGTTTGAGCTGCTTTCATCGTACCGGAAACCGGGGCGAAATGAGGATGTATTCTGGGGTGGGGTGACATGTTCGGAATGGAGAGGGGTGGTACGGATGTCCAATTAAAGCCCCACAAGACAGTTCGAATAGCGTTTTCGATCCTGGATGATGTCATTAGTTCTCGAGATCATAGGGCCCGGGGCTAGGAAAAAGAAAGGCAAATCGAGAAAGAAACAAGGTCCGGGTAGGCCTACGATGTATGATGAAGCCCGCTCACCAACTTTTCATATGTGTTTTATTTGAAAAAAAAATGAACTTCCATCCAAACATCGATTCACTCTAACAAGCTTCTTTTTATGACAACTTTGCACAGCTGCAGCATACTTTTCTGAAAAATGTTCACTCGCCTGTGTGGTGAGTGAAAAACTGACCATACGACACTCAAACGCAACCCTTCGAGGAGGTGCAGTCACAAGCCTTCCTTGCCATCTAGTGAGAATGATACGAACGCTAGCGTACTGGTGGTGCCATCATCTTTCACCTTTCGTCTTCATCGATCAGCTGAGTGCAGTGCGAGCTTCAGCCTATTGTAACTTGTTCTAGGGACGTGACAGCCAGTCGTGTGAGACCTGTTTTTGATACTGTTATATGCAACGAATTTCAAGCGAGAACAACAACGCGCCGTCGTCAAATTTCTTTTGGCAAAAGGTGAGAAAGCCGCTGACATCCATCGCGAGCTGAAGGCCGTTTGTGGTGACTCTGCACTGTCTCATGGCACTGTGGTGACTCTGCACTGTCTCATGGCACTGTGGTGACTCTGCACTGTCTCATGGCACTGTAAAGTGGGTTCGCGAATTTAAGGGAGGTAAGGAGTCGACGGAAGACGAATCACGATCTGGGAGACCGCGGACGTCACTGAATGACGATAACGCAGTTCGTGTGGAGAAGCTGACCACGAAGGACAGAAGAATTACCATCGACGAAATCTGTGAAGAGTCGTGTCTCTCACATGGGACTGTGCATCGCAATATTAGTCATAATCTTCACATGTCCAAGGTTAGTGCACGTTGGGTCCCATGCTACTCGAGTTGATATTTGTCTGTTCCCTTATGGCGCACCATGCTTCATATTCGGCCGATTCCGATGGAGCCTTGACTCTTGTGGTCACCATGGACGAGTCCAAGTTTGTTCTGTACAACCCTGAGACAAAAAGGCAATCCCAAGAGTGGAAGCATGTGGACTCTCCGCTCCCAAAAATTTTTGTCTGTGTGAGTCAGCCGAGAAGGTTCTTAACGCCATTTTTCGGGACCGAGAAGGCATCATCCTGGTATATCCAGTTCCAAAGGGAGTCATAATCAATGGCACTGAAGCGACTTACCCTGGCACCATGGAAATTCATGCTTCACAAGGACAACGCGCCACCACACGGAGCCGGCTTCGTGATGGAGTCTTTGACGGGAAAATGCATAGAAATCATTTGGCACCCTCAGACTTCTGGCTGTTCGAAACTCTCCAAGATTCTTTGCGAGGAACTCCTCACGCATCAAGAACAGCAATGGGGACAGCAATATGCCAGTGAAACACGTCCCTAAAGACTCGTTCAACAAGTGTTACTAAAACTGGGTCAAGCGGTGGCATCTGTGCCACCGCTTGTTGAAAGTTGAACAGGGTTTGGATGCCCTTCAGCAAGTAATACCAAGGTGGCCCAAAAAAAGTTCAGAACTTTACATGCCTGCAGATGGTGTACCATATGAGTTATCGACAGAAAATTTACAGGCTTTTACGAGAGATGTTTGCAAATAATGTAACAAAAATTTAAGTGAAAATGTTTGTAAACTATCAATACACGAGTAACAATTTTTCTCCTGCGCGATGTCAAAAGAGCGAGTGTGCAAAGGAACGCCCCTGAACTCAATGAAAGAATTGCTTGATGTGTCCTCCATGGATGTGTCCCCCTTGAATCGCGGGCTGAGGCAGCACGCAGCAAACGCACCCACGCACTTCCTCATTTGACGACTTGTAAGGAAAGAGCTCTTACTCGCGTTCAGAGCAAGGAATTTCATTGAACTTTTCCTCAAGCAACCTACCTATATTGGGTATGACGCACGGAAAATTTGAAGACGATGGTGTCATGGTGTCCCGTCTGCAGTCCGATCAGGACTCAATCAACATCCCCTCAAGTTGCATCCACGTCGACCGTGAGTGGGGGAACGTCGATGGACATCGCAGTGGACTGTTCATGCTTACCCCATTCCAGCGATCGTGCGGCAGACAACATCCGTCCTATTTGTGAGACAGCTTCGTGAGACAGCCATCTATCTCGGCTATTCGAACAATGTTCCCACGAACGATGGGAGATGGCCCCCAAATGGCCGATATTCCAAAGGTATCAGGGAGCGGCTCACAAGAAATTCCTCGTGCCTTTCATGAGATACCTAATAATTTCCTACAAAGTAAGGAAGCCACTGGAATTCCTTAATTCATTCGTAAAAGCACGATAATAGTTCAGAGTGAATCTCTGTTTGTGGAAGCACTCACACATGAAAATTTATTCCAAATTACGTTCTTCTATTTATGACGAAACTGTGCTAATTCAAGCATTACAAATTAAACATAAGTTGCCATAGGGTCATTATCGCTCTTCTCCGGATAATTTCAGTGGCAGCACTCTTCACCCGATTATCGTGAGCGAAATTGCTATTTAAAAAAAAGTCCAGACCTGTTCTGCCATTTTGCGTTCGCTTTCAAAAAATAAGTTCCCTCAAAATATTTGCTCGATCGTGCCGTAGCTTGCATGGCCTCAGTACTCTGAATGACGCAGGCTGCAACTCGATTCATGAAGCGTTATCTCGACGTATCTGTCCCAAGGGGAGAGGAAGGGACCCTCGCATATCTGTACAAAAAGGCATTTTCCGATGGAACGGTTCGGAATAAAGAACAAACCGAGTGTAAGATTTCTACAAACCGTGCATTTCCTCAAGAGAAGGCCTGACTCCGTTCAGCCGAAACGGGATGGAATAAGCCACGCATATGCCACTGGTCGATTTCATAATTTCTCAATCTGACCTCAATCTGACCTCAATCTGACCTCAATCTGACCTCAATCTGACCTCAATCTGACCTCAATCTGACCTCAATCTGACCTCAATCTGACCTCATTCTGACCTCATTCTGACCTCATTCTGACCTCATTCTGACCTCAATCTGACCTCAATCTGACCTCAATCTGACCTCATTCTGACCTCATTCTGACCTCATTCTGACCTCATTCTGACCTCATTCTGACCTCATTCTGACCTCATTCTGACCTCATTCTGACCTCATTCTGACCTCATTCTGACCTCATTCTGCGAGGAACCGATCCCCCCCCCCCCCCCCCAACTTCGAACGACCATCGCGCAATGGAAGCAGTAGTGCCAGGCGTAGCGGCAGCACACGCGCATCGGAAGGAGCGCTCCATGGAGAGTTGGGGTGCCCCACCTCCTGCATTGTTTGCATGAAACCCTCAAAAAGGTAGATACGAAGTGCAGATACTGCATGGATCCCGAGGCGCACAGGGATTTCAGAAACGTCACTACGCTGAGTCGCGATCGTTCCTTCCCACCTACTCCTTGATCTCTGCCGGAGACTCTGGACAGGTGAGCTTTATAAACAAAGAAAGAAAAAGAGGAAGACAGGGATAGACAGACGAATACTTTATGTACGTATATATGTATTTCTGGTACTTCGTGTTATGAAATAACATTTTTCCTAGAGTTGAATCTTCATTCATACAAGTCCAGCACTTCAAAAAATAAGTGGCCTCTCCAGCGCAACAACTTTCTACCCAAGCCCAATTGCAAAGCTTCTTTCTAAGAAAGAACTAAGGAACTAAACCTATCCGAAAATGCGCTTCCTGAAGGGCTTCGGCGGACCATCCATTTGGATCATTATCCCAGCCGCGTTCTTAGTGCCTATCAACGTCCCTTTCTGAAACCTGGTCCCTTTGCTATCCTGCTGTATGAAGCTGACATCATCTGCCTGGACCATCACTTGTCCTTTCTTTAGCATGAGGAGGCGTTGACTGCCTACCACCGTCGCGGGATTTGGGATACCTTTAAATTTGGAAACGTCGTTAAATCTCATGACGGTGTTGGCTGGGACCGGCGGGGTACGCACCGGCATAGTAGGCGTATGGCCTTTGCTTAATGCATCTTTTGCATTGTCAAATTCTACGTTCCCCCACGTATGATCATTCTTGTACTTTGGAGTGCACGGGTTTGTCCGCTTGACCCGGCGATAAAAGCGTCAGAGCCTAAACAGATCCCTGAAGACCGCGGCAGCGTCCAGCAGTCCGCCCTGCAGTCGTTCCATGCAGCTTTTCTCGTTGTCGCAGAGGGAGGCCATCAGGCCCTGGCCCACGAGCGAGGAGCGCTCCATCTCCCTCATCCCATACATGAGACCGCCCAGGCTGTCTTCCAGGATCTCCTCTTCCTCGCCATCGACGGTCACCACTCCCAAATCGCCGTACTTGTTGAGCGACTCAAACAGCAGACGCTCGCATCGGTCCAGTTGGCTGTGACCGCGGCAGATCTCGTCGTAGTAGGGCTTGGACCTCTGGTGCCCGGTTATCATCAGCTTCAGCACCAGGAAGATGGTGGTCTGGTTGTTCCATGGTGCCTCCCCTGCGGAAAAGCCTTCTATCAGCGAGGTCGGCAGCTTCTCTTGCACCCAGGCCGGGACCTCAGGCAAGGTCGGGCTGAAGAGAAGGCTCTCCTCTTCGGTCACTGAGCGCCGGCAAATGACCCTCGTCGTGGCCGGGGCAATGGCTGGGGCCCTGGCCGGGGCAATGGCTGGGGCCCTGGCCGGGGCAATGGCTGGGGCCCTGGCCGGGGCAATGGCTGGGGCCCTGGCCGGGGCCTTGGGGA